CAAGTGGAAAAGCCGCCAAGAAAGCTGGCAAAGCCAGGCCAGTCGGAGACAAGAAGAAGGGAAGGAGGAGAAAGAGGAGGGAGACGTTCGGCGTCTACATCTACAAAGTGCTCAAGCAGGTGCACCCCGACACCGGCGTCTCCAGCAAGGCCATGGGCATCATGAACTCATTTGTCAACGACATCTTCGAGCGCATCGCCGCCGAGGCTTCCCGTCTGGCTCACTACAACAAGCGCTCCACCATCAGTAGCCGCGAGATTCAGACCGCAGTCAGACTCCTGCTGCCGGGCGAGTTGGCCAAGCACGCCGTCAGCGAGGGCACCAAGGCCGTCACCAAGTACACCAGCTCCAAGTAGATCGACCGCCGCTGCTTGCTCGACATAACCCCGGCCTTTTTCAAGGCCACCCACATCCTCACAAAAGAACTGTTTCAATCACACTCTCCACTCCGACAATATACACATGTACACATCACTAACCTGTGACCGCAGCTAGCTACAAAACCACCGATCCATGCGTGAACTGCAACGCACAACAACAGAAAGAAAGAAAAACAAGTCAAGTTTATTCTGACGTAATAAAAGTCTGAACGCGTTCTTTCTTGCCGAACAAGGAGGCCTTCTGGAACGAAATGTCGCTTGCGACGTTCCTTAGAACAATATGGTTTGGCCGTTGCAGGGCGGCGTTCTTGTCCTGTCTAGACATACTAGTATATGTATAGTAGTAAACAGTGTGTGTGTTTCAATATACATATATCTGTGCGTGCGTGCGCGCGCGCGTGTGTGTGTGTTTTCCTTCAGAGTTGCATAATAAGAGATTTCATTGTACATGGATTTAAGGTTGTTTTCCTATGACAAATAAAGAGTTATATATAGTTTTCCAAGGAGTAATGTGAAAGTCTTAACCGATTCTCCCAAAAGCCTTGCCCAGTGCGCTTCACAAGTTCTAAGTTGTTATTAGTGCCACCGTGACAAGCAGGAAAACAGTTCGCCCGACAAGTACAGATGTACAGAACATTTCTGATTTGTATATTTGATATCACTTGTTCCACTAGATCGCCTGTCCAATAGGGCGCTGTCTGGCAACTTTACTGCTTCTGCGATCGACCTTCGCATTCTGGCGATCGACCTTCGCATTCTGGCGATCGACCTTCGCATTCTGGCGATCGACCTTCGCATTCTGGCAGATCATTTTTTTTAGGGCGAACGTTGTTGACAGTTTGGTGCCGGCTTAACGGTGCACGTTGAGTGATAGTCCGTTGTAAAAAAGTGATGAAAGTGTTTTGAGGGTCCAAGTTTGAGGTGACATTTCTCATAAACTGCCACGATATATCATTAAACATTAACATGGCTGAAGAGTGTAAGAAATGGTGATTTTGGGGTTAAAATTCCTTTTGGCTCCGAACCTAACTTCCGGGTATCCTTGCGCGCCAAGTGTAACCCCTCGCGCCGTGGACGGTTTAGAAAATTTCAGTACTAGAATTTTCTTTATAATTTACTCGGGTATAGTCAAGGCTTGGGTCTGTCTGCCAGCATCAGTAATTTCTGCCGGAATTTTTTTTTTCTATGGGATCCCACGCGAAAATTCGCAATTTTGGGCATTAATTTTGGATTGAAAACTTGATTTTACCAGGTTGAAGAAACCAAACTCAGCTGGTTCTTGTAGCTGAAGAGATATCCTTTCGTCCCATATACAGTTATTCTCCTTTCGAATTATTCCACGCCAGAGACGGTCGCTAGATTTGAGGGTGTGCAGCTTCGAATAGAGACGCCAAATAAACGTTGTGCCCCCTTGAGCAACTTGTTTTTTTCCTGATTGTTTTTCGAGTTTCCAATCATCTGCTAAGTCAGATTCCAGGAAACATCTATTGAGAGGATACGTACAGAGCTTCTGTCGTAGATGACTTCCTTCCCTGTCGTATGTGGCACTTTTTGTGATTGGTTGTTTGAAATACTGTTAGCCGGTCGGTCAATCCGGTATTTTCTTGCGAATCCCTCTGTAGGTCAGCGAAAGGAAGCCAGACAATATCTACAGGCCAGACAATCAGCATGGCCAGTGCAGCTGGCCTTGGTGTAGTCTCCACCAGACCCTCTATGACTGACCATCTCCCCTGGCCAGCTACATTCTTTTTGGGGGCCGATTTCTACCATTTATTCATCCTGCAAAGGAGTCTGGTGGAGACTAGCCTTGGTGATTGTCTGGCTTCATTGCTGTGTGTGGGACGAGAGTTCCTCACATCGCGCACATTCAGTCTCCCAAGTCAGTAGGGCGGACCGTTAACTCACCAGGTCTGTACAGTAAGTACGAAGTGCGTATATAAGGCCAAACTGCCTGGTCTGATTCACTCTTTCCGTGATTATTGATATATTAATAAGTGCACGTGGGGTAGGTTTCTTAACGTGTGCATACTACCGGCTTGTCTCTCGGAGTCCTCAAACTTCCAGGCTGAAGTGGCACGGACAGCGGGACAATCATTGAGCCACGGCCCGCTGCGTCACCACGGCCTAGTCGGCAAGGCTTCAAACATAGCGACAAACAGGTATCAATCATATGTTCTATCAAACTTCAGCGGTTCAGATAGAACAGTCAGAACAACTGTTCCTGTTTTAGCTCTTTCTGTCAGTTATACCTCGTCACATTACAGCCCTGGGCGTGGGGCAGACGAGTCTGCGAGTTTACGTTAACATATTCACCTATAGCCTGAAGGCCAGACTCCCAGCACGCTAGGCCCAGAGTTACCCAGCGTGCATGGTTGATCAGGGTCGAACTGAGAGGTGTTGTGGTATATTTTTTTTATATATGTTGGCCATGGAGCCGATGATCTAGCACTTGCTGGCCCTGAAAACAGTCTCGCACCCAGACTATATAGTACGCCTGGCCGTAATCTTGACCATTCCGCTTTCTAGCGATCGGCCGATATGATATTTGCAGGCTACCAAGCCTGCTAGCTCCAATATGACAGGGTAGATTTTACGCTTGACTCTCTGGCGATTTTTCAAATTGCTGGCAACCTTATAGTAATCAACAAATACGACCGAAGCTCTTGGACTGTGCGGCACGGGCTTTACCATCAGTGTAGGACAGTACTATCTACCAGAAGCACGGAAGATTCACCGTCCTATATCTACTGCTGTTACACATTTGTAGCGGAATAATTTCCAGTGAATCAACTTCTTAAAGCCTGCATTCATCGAGATTGTGAAAGTTGTTTTTTCCACGCTTGTAAACAATGGGGCATACCATACTCTTTATCGTTCTTGCTCTAGCGGCGGCTTCTGTAATATCTGCCCAATCCTGTTTTCCGGATTGCAAAGTGACAGACATTCAGCGGTGTGTTCCCAGTGATCAATCATGGGGCAAGCATTCCAAATACTTCAATGATAAACTACAAAACTCATGGGACAGGCATTTCAAATACTTCAGTGTTATACCACCATCATACTATAACAGTCCCCTAAAAGAGCGGTCTTGTGTCTTATGTTCAGTAAATGCCAATGAGCCTTTTTCAACCTCCTCGGTGAATACCAAGTGGTCAGTTGGTTTACAGGAGAGTACTGTTACCTACACATGGCCAACCACGAGTCCCTTACTAGCTGTGAGAGGTTATCCCTTTGGTATGCTATCAGCAAGGGGGCTTCGAGCATGTAACAGCTCGGGAGTTCACTACCTCAGCCTTGTAGAAGGAGGTATCACAGATATAGAAACCACCAGTCTCGGTGTGTTTCTGGACTTGCAGCTTCTGTATTTGGATTACAACAACTTGTCTCACGTCAAGAAAGATTGGTTCTCCACGTTAAGGCGTCCAGACGCCCTGGTAGTCTTGTCTTTGTCGCACAACAAGATCGTAGACATCGAGTCAGAAAGCTTTGCACGACTAGGCATGCTGAGAATGATGTCACTTGAACATAACCGTCTCCGGAATTTGCACCCCGACTGGTTTTACGGGTTGACAAACTTAACAGGACTTAACTTGTTCTCAAACCGGCTTGAAACCCTTACAAAGACTGCGTTTGTGTTCCTAACCGAATTGAAGCAGTTGAACATGAGAGAAAACGAGCTCTTAAACCTCCCCAAGGGATTTCGTTGGCCACAGAAAAATCCCATGTACCTTCTTACAGGGACAGGGTTGCTGGGTGCGCGTGACCCCACGTTTGAATGGCGCGGAGTCGTGATGTCTGATTTGTCTTTGGTACAAATCAGTGTCAGCGGTTTGAGTACGTACTCAACACATGCTGACAAGTGGTTCAGGTATGAAACACGGACAAGAGACGGTACCCGACTAACATCTTCAGGTTTCGGCATTGGGTACGGATCATTAGCGTTCAGCCAGAGTTACACCATGGAAGAGCAGAAGTATCCTGCCCCTTTCTTGATCATAGCTGCCATGGAGGGAGAAGACATGGCGTCTATAGAGAAAATGAACTACTGGTGTGAGCGATTCTGGGCCGGGGAAGGTACAGTGAGTGTAACCTTGGGAGCGAGCAAAGAAACTACGGTACAGCTCGCTGCCGTTGTTACAAAGAAAGACAACGATACAACAACTCTGATTTCCGTATTGTTCAACCCCGCTTGGACTCCTGATGAAGAGAGCTCATATGTTAATAACCAGAAACAGGCCAACAGTACAGGCACGAGGGTCGTGACGTGCGTAATGCTCAGTGAGATGAATAAATCCGAGTCGTACTTTGTGCCAAAACGCGGAGAGTCAGAGACCGTGCACGTGCGCCACAATGTCAGCGACCAAAGTTGGAACAACAACACCGCCGTCAACAAGACAAATCTCGTCAGAGATGGCGAGCCAATAGAAAACAGTACGACCTTCCACTCGCCAGTTGATGTAAGCCTGTCACTGAGGCCTACTGAGACTGACGTGACTGTAACGGTGCGACCAGAACTACCAGATCAAGATGAACCGGTTCTCTCTGACGGTATGATATTTGTGATCATAGCTGGAATATTTTTAGACGCGGTGGTTACCACCTTCGTGGTGAGAATGCTGGTAAAGAGGCGTTGCCCTTCCCGTCGTCATGACGACGGTCGCCATGACGACGGTCGCCATGACTACGAGAATGACTACGAGAACACCGATATCTCACATGTCTACCATGAGATACCCGATGTCCTAGCCGGTCCTCCACCTCGGCCTGTTGTATCCGACACACGGGGGGTTGGTCAGGCCTCCACGTCGGGAACAGCCGAGGACGACGACTCAAGCTACTCGGAAATCCCAGACGACTACTTCAGCTTCAACAACCCTGGATATCGGTATCAGCGTAACTCGCTGCCACCGGATGACCACAACTACTGGCAGATATTGGACGAGTTCTACGGTTACGAAAACACCGACAGGCTGGCGAACTGGCGCCCGTCCTCACTGCCGCTGACATTTGAGGCGACGTACGAAAACGCCAAATACGAGAATGTCGGACGCTGGCAACGGCAACGTTCTGATATTGACTATACACCAATGACTGGGAAGGTAGGAAAGAAGGCAGGTGCCATTGGGAGACCAATTAATGAGGACACCGAAAGTCTGGCGAACTGGCGCCCATCTTCACTGCCACTGACACTTGAAGCGACGTACGAAAACGTTAAATACGAGAACGTTGGACGCTGGTCGCGACAACCTTCCGCCGTTGCCCGTGGGAGACCTACTACAAAAAGGCAAAGGTCTCGGGACGTGATTGTGATAGGGGGGTACGGAACTGAGTCACGGTCATCAACGGTAGAGAGTGGGGATCAGAACATGGCTGCACGTGTAGGCTGGAGAGTCAGGCTACAAGAACGAGACAACATTTCGTACGATGTGGCTAAGAGATTCAGTGATCGGCGCACGAGCGCGTACCAATCGCCAAGGAGAGTTTCAGTTTCAACGGTAGAGTCTGGGGGTCAGAACATGGCTGCACGTGTAGGCTGGAGAGTCAGGCTACAAGAACGAGACAACACTTCGTACGATGTGGCTAAGAGATTCAGTGACCGGCGGACGAGCGCGTACCAAACGCCAAGAGTTTCAGTCTCAAGGTCAAACAATAGGGCCTACCAGTCACATTGGAGATGGGGCAAAGTCTCTATTCACAAGTATTGGAACCAAGAGATACCGTTCTCAGAGGAAACAACAACAGGCTTTAAAAGAGTGAAACCTGGACGCCGTCATAGCCTGTAAATTAAAGACGGAAGTGTGTACTTTTAAGGTACTAAATAACTAGCCTCCTTCGCAGTCTTGTTGGGCGTGGGCGTAATTTTTTCTCTGAGCGACGCGTGTAATATGCCGCCGCGAGGGACGATTTGCTGCCGAGGGACATTTGCCACGGAGAGAAGGTTTCCGCGCTCCAACAACCTTCTCTCCGTGGCAAAAGTCCCTCGGCAGCAAATCGTCCCTCGCGGAAAATTACGCCCACGCCCAACAAGACTGCGAAGGAGGCTACTAAATAACCCACCCTGAGGACTTTTGGGGTGTTCTAAAAGTACATGTTGCAGTTAAGTACCGACTTTGAATTTTTGTCACAAAGTGTCTTGTTGCAAGATGATAATTTATGCACATTTTTATGACGTCACAATGACGTCATCAATAGTTATGAGGTCACGCCCATTTTTAGAAAAATAGCATTTTCAGCCAGATCCATAGGTATTCAAAAGAAACTTATAGCCCCGAACAGGCTTCACGTGACAGTTAAGAAAGAAACAGATAGACTGGAACAGGCCTGACCGTGTGACCTTTCGAAAGAAACTTAAAGCCTGGAACAGGCTTAGCCGCGTGGCCCTTCAAAGGAAGTGATAGACTCGAATAGGCCTAGCCGTGTTGCCATTCAAAATAAAATCATGGCCTTGAACAGGCTTCGTCATGTAGTTGTTAAAAAGAACTGATAGATTCGAACAGGCTTAGCCGCATGGCAATCAAAAGGAACTGATAGCCTGGAACAGGGCTATTCGAAAGACTTAGCTCCCAGGCACAAACGTCAATATCACTTTGGTGTTAGAAAACTGTAGGAAGAAGCTTCATCAATTGTAATATTTCATACACTTAGTAATAAACCTACATCGGTGTAAACGTTACATTGTTGATATTTATTTGAAGGCTCCCTGCTGAATGAATGGATTGATAAACGAATAAATACTGAAGGAATGAACGAATGGGAATAATCAATGTGACTAATGATACACCCCAGTCTAAAAAACGTACTTGCTCAGTATTTTCATCTCATGTTTAATCTAACATATTCTAGCGCTATAAAGGATGCATGCAAAAAAGACGAAAATGTAAAGAAATGAATTTGATGAATAGACTATTCGGCAAACCATACTGTGTCATTTATTCAACCTTCATGATCACGTAGATTTCATAATGAAAGCAACTTTTTTTGCCAAACTTTTTTTTATTCGCACGTGCGCATCAGTTTTGGGGTTCCCAGAGGATGTCATTCATATACACATGTATGTAATCAAATCAACATGGGCTAATGAGAAATGAGTACAAAACACATCCCTTTGTGCACAGTAGTTTTTATTCCTGGCTGCCATCACATAGTCAGCAGCCTCTCCAAGCAGCAGCTCCGGGGCTGGGAGAATTTGTCCACTCATGATTTGACATTAAACTTGTATCCAAGTCACTAACAGCACCTACACGTTACAGATAGGCAACGGTATTGCAACAACCAACCAACATATACGTACATCAGAACCAACTCTCTTTCTCTGGTGCCAAGTTATCCTGTCTGCATGTGATGAAGTTTCCATATCCATGAGCTATACATGTATGTCGACATGGTATTCAAGCTTCCAGAAAAAAAAATCACCCACAAAACATACAGAGACTGCTAGATTTGTGTTAAAAAGTGCCCAAGTAGAGCCTTCTCTTAGGCTGGATGCCGTTTTCCATAGTTACAACTGGTTTTCCCTGTAGCAAGGCAAAAGGGAGTGAGCTAGCGGTAACTATGAAATTGAAGGACGGCACCTAGGCTACTTTTCTGTATAACTGATGGGATCACAATCATTCTTCAATATAATCTAGGGATTGCCAAAGTACTAAGGCAGATTGCCACGATACTAGGGCAACGTTAGCAAGTTCCGTAACAGGTTTCAGCTAGGATGTGAACTAAGCGAAACATTGTTGCTGACAGGGTAACTTGGGTCAAGAACAAAACATAAGTGTGGGATGTACTAATTGTAAAATCTGATGACAGTCACAAAGTTGGCTCACATGATAGAGGGTTTCTGTGGCTCTGAACCACAACTTATTCAACCCGAGTCACTACCACTAAGCAGTGTGCTGAATAGAACGAATCACAAATACAACAAAATTAACACGTTAAGCTCCGCAACAAAATAGTCCATGCAAAAGGAAAGAATTGGCAACAGAGGTGTACAAACCTTCAGCTTTTCCAGCACCCTGGCTGGTTTCGGTTTTCACAACAAAATGGCACTAAATTTCTAACATGATTCTGCAGCATCACAAGCACATTGCCAGCCTAAAACTAGTGTTAACTTGATCACATATCTGTGCTTACCAAGCACTAGTCATTATTGACTATGGCATCCAATCCTGTCATGGTTAAGTGTAGGAAAGAATAAACAATTCTCCCCACACTTAACTAGCCTGGGTGACATCAGATTTGTAAGGGGACTCCTTGCATTTGCTGGTGAAAAAAAAATGACCAGAGAGTGCAAGGAGCGCCCTTACAAATTAGCTGGAACCCAGGCTAACACTTCACTTTACACTTTACATAACATTGTAATTCACTAAATATAAATAATGGCAAGAAAACAAATCAGCTACAGTTTTCTGTATACACCAGTACCCTTACAACATCACAACCTTCCAACTGGCTGACACACGGGTCCAAATTTAGCAATCATGCAGTATTGTATAGTCCTCATGTTAGACTTCTGATACATAGGAAGTGACCTGTGTATGACCAAGGACTGGAAATGTTGTTACAATACTGTATTTACTTTTATCTCGAAAGATCATCAGTTTTTTGCATTGATACATGTAGAAGTCATCATGAAGCAGGTTTAAGCTAATTTCCAACACAAGAAATTGGACTTACCCAAATTTTCGATTGTACAACTTCTTAGCACAAGGAAATTAAAGAGGCTATCTCCATGAAGGCATTGCGACCATGCCTCAACAGAGACGGGGGCGCCACCGACTTTTTGCAACCTATGATCCACTGCTCACCAAGTCATGTGTGTTACCTGTATAATGTCAGGTGGGTTGCTCATTCCTTGACAAAGACTGGAGTTGTACAGTTGAAAATTTGGGTAAGTCCAATTTCTTGTGTTGGAGTTTAAACTTGATAATATTTCTTTTGGTCAACAATTTGTGCTCCTCTTTCTCACCTTCAGTGCATTGCTGGACAGGGCCCTCCCCAAGCAATGAAGCAAGCTTAGGGTGCTCCCCTCTCCCCCAAATCCTAGCACCTCTCCCAAAATGTTCAAATTTAGGGTTTTCTTTTAGTATTGTCATGAAAATTCGCTTTTTTTCGCGACAGCAACTGATTAGGGAGCACATCTCCCCAAAAATTTTCTGATGGGGACCTCTTCTGGGTGAAATTTTCTTGTTGCAGTTTAAGACTTCCTAGTCATCCTCAGGAGCAATTTTTTTCTTTCTTACACGTCCCGGTCCATCCTTTTAACAGAGGTTGAAGTATGATGTTTCCCAGATCATTTCTGGCACATACAGGCTTACTTGGCACTGTACCTAAACCATAAGTACATCTTTCTGTGCACTCAACATACAGTACTCACAACATACAAGACTTATCTTTTTTTTTCGAAATAAAATAGTGTGCACTGAACCAAAGTATTACATGGGTACATTAAAACTGTACCAAACTAACCACAAGACACACGTACAGTGAATCTGGTACTTTTACCTCACATTACATACCACTATACACTCCTTCCATCCACATCTTTTACCTCAAATGTCACATGTCCACAAGTACAGGTCTTCTGAGTATAAGGCCTAGGAAAATTAATGTTGTGTTCCTGGTTTTATCCCTGAAAAAAACTAGGGTTGAAAAAAAACTAGGGTTGGTAGATAGGGATTGTCTTCTTTTTTATTTTTCTATTTACATTTCAGCTAAAATGATCCAACAAATAATGTCTCAAGGACGTTCACCTGTGTGCTTGTGGACAAATATTTTACTAGATTTACTGAAGAAAAATTAAATGCGTTTCAGAATTCAGTGGGTTTGAAATTTAGATGTCAGATGGAAAACTTTATAGACTTACCAGTGGTTGATAAAAAAAATGGCTAGGGTTGGTGGGGGAACCAGAAACGCAACATTAATTTTTTCCTAGGACTAACTCACTAAACGTGCCACAAACTCTATGATAAAGAATCAAATCTCGGATGTCTCTATAAAATCACTAAGATATCAGGACTTCCAAAGTCTTGAACCATCCTTACTTTGCTTCTCCGTGCACCAAGTCTGACATTTATTACAGCAAAAAGACTAAACCTTTACATAAGTACAAAGCCTCCTGTATGGCAAGTATAGGACATCTCCAATCCAAAAAAGCACAAATATTCAATACAACAGAGCTCCTGTTTCGTACTGAAAACTAACAAGTACAGTCCCAAATATAAAATGTTTCAGAATCTCAATATCATCAGTAAGTTCAAAGCACGGGTACATGTATAATGAGTTGAAAGAAGCCACCAGGGCTAAAACAACTCTAATTGACTACTGGCCTTTCCTTTATGGTTTTAAGTAATAGTGAAGTGTCAAGAAAAGTCAAATTGTGGTACCATACTTGTAAATACATTGTATTATTGAGTCCCTTCTGTACAAATGTATATATTATGATCCAATACTACGTTGTAGGTTGTTATATGTGAAGATGCTGCCTATTACTGCAACTACTGATGAGTTTCCAAGTCTTAAGATTTGTAGGTAAGAAGCACAGTATCCTGTAACCATTAAATATTACTGACCATGTCTTAGTGTTGTAAGTTCACTGCTGAAGGAAAAAGTGTTACTGTACATCATTGTATTTAGATTAATTAACATTGAATGGCACCATAACACTTTACATAATCAGCCTTCGTACGAAGTAATGTAAAATCTGCATACCACATTTTGAGGATGTCTTCACATGGCAAGATGGTGGTCGTCACTGCATTTATATGGGTATGTGTGGTCATGTGTATTCTTGGTAGAATGAGAAAGGACAATTTACCATTTGAAAAGACAAACTAATGTGAGATTTGGGGACTTTAGACCCCAAATTCTGTTTGCAAAAGGTGAAAATTAGATTAAGTAGACAACCTACATAACAGGTCTTCTGGCAGTGCCATCTGGTAGTAACCAGAATCACCTTTTGGAAACAGAATTTGGGGTTTAAAGGCCCCGAAACTGAAATTAGTTTATTTGTCCTTTAGTATCCTCCAGAAACTGTAGGATGAGCATTAGAGTTGTGATGCTGAGAGGTGTGAGAAGCAGGGTGGACGTGGGTTACTTCAGTCTCTGTGTGACATTGGCCAGGGCCACGGCAAAGGCCTGTAGTGCTGTGAATGGATGCTGGAAGTCTAGAGTGTAGGCATTCACATCAATTCTCCCAAACTGCAGCACCTAAGGGAAAAATAATACCATAAGTTGTGTGTCTTGAAAATGCCACACAGATACCATTTTAAAGGAGATTTGCCTTCTTTTTTTCTCAAACAAAACATCCAATAAATAAATGCACTTTCATTTGCAAATGAAACAATCTACAATGTCGAGAGAACAGCCTGACTGAGAGTCCCAGAGAACAGCCTGACAGTCCCAGAGAACAGCCTGACAGTCCCAGAGAACAGCCTGACAGTCAACAGCCTGACAGTCTCAGAGAACAGCCTGACAGTCCCAGAGAACAGCCTGACAGTCCCAGAGAACAGCCTGACAGTCCCAGAGAACAGCCTGACAGTCCCAGAGAACAGCCTGACAGTCCCAGAGAACAGCCTGACAGTCCCAGAGAACAGCCTGACAGTCCCAGAGAACAGCCAGGCAGTCCCAGAGAACAGCCTGACAGTCCCAGAGAACAGCCTGACAGTCCCAGAGAACAGCCTGACAGTCCCAGTGAATAGCTAAGCAGCTTTACCTGCTGGCCCTCCAACTCCACTTGGAAGTTCTTAGCTGACTCCTGTGTCACCCGCCCTCCGAAGTCCAGCTGGTACACCTGAAGAGCACAGTACATAATATTATAATTATCAATTATGTCCAACTTCACAATATTACAACTTTATTGACTATCATCTCTAAGTTTTCTATTATTTGGGATTTTAACCTAACCCCCCCCTAAGATCACTGTCATTGTGTTATGATTATGATTTGCTTTTGTTTGATAAATGGGATTTGCTAGCATGACTAAGCATTCCTATGTTTAATCTGCACTATTTTATATCCCGCCCATTACTTCCTTTGTATTTTGTTTTTTATGGGCTCCCTTGGAAATCAGCCGTTCTACGCTGAAGGGACCTCCCATGCAGGCATAAATAAATACCGTGTGTAAGTATACCTGTGTGCTCTCGTTCCACAGTGGAGCCTTGTTGGTCAGCACATACTCATGTTGCACTATAATCTCGTCTCCCTCGCTTCTGGATCGTACTCGCTTGCTCTTTCTCCGTGTTAGTCCTTTTGTTCTCAGGGCCCCGAGTTCATCCCCGCTCAGGTTACACTCCCCTTCACTGTCTGAACTTTGTTCCGCCTGTGACCTCGACCTGAACTTGACCTTTTGACCCTTGACTCCATGGCTTTTATTGCACTTAGTACACAATTGGTGAATGAGTTTCCCCCCCTCGGCGATCCCCCTCACTCCCTTGTCCACAACTCTGTCCTCGTACGGCCCTCTGCAGCGAGAGGCGTTCGACTCAATCTCCCGCGGGCTCCCTGGTCTCTCCGTCAATTTGATTGACACGTGCTTGTCAAGCGTTTGATTGGCTTTTCTCGCAATGCTCTCCCGGGGTTCAAAGATGTCTTCTGGCTCCATTTTGGGGCTGGGCGGTCCCCGTGAGGGCTCGCGGAGACTGTTCTTGGGAGTAGCTAAGAGCTGCCGTGCCTTCTCACTGATGATGCTGGTTTTAGCAGAAGATAACATGCCCAGCCGTCTGCAGCGGTTTTCCCGCGGGGCCAGCGGTAGCGAAGCTCCTTCGCTGAACACTTTTGTCTCGTCCCCATCGTCACTAAACAGAGACGTTTCCACACTCGGTTCGATGATTTCTGTGGCGACCTTTGCCCATCTCTCCCCCTCAAGTTCTCCATCCACAAACATCTCGTTTGCAACTCCCCCGTCCCCGTTGGTTACCACCCCTTCCTCTAGCAGTTTCTGTGGTTCTTCTGCAGCTAAGATCTCTCCATCACACTCTGTCTGTCCGTCTAACTCCTCTAGGTTTTTATAAGTGCCTCAACTGATTGTACGCTTTAGGAATGGCCCCTTGTGATATGTACTGTTCTCTCTCACTGGGAGAGAGCTCTCTTCTCTCATAGCAGTCTGGTCTGATGCACTGGGCTTCTTGTCTCCCACGCTGCACCTCTACCCCGCTCCCGTGGTGCACCTCTGAGTTCCCATGGTGCACCTCTACAAAATACTTTCCGGGTAGTGTGATCTGATTGGCTGAGGAGAAGATGTCCTCGTTGGCGAGGTTCATCCGTGTGGTGAGAAGTTCCTTCTTGACGGAGCGGAGGGAGTCTGCACAGCTGACAGGGCAGATGGGAACATCCATTTCTTCTGGAGGGGGTTCCACATTGGAGATCCCACTATCCCTGCAGCCTGGAGATCCTGCAGGAAAAAACATGCGAACTTTACTAAGATCTGGTCTTCTGTCTGAATTTCACATTCAATACATTTATCAGAACTTACACCACAGCTGCTGTTAGCTAGCCCCCAGCCATCTCACCACATTTGCACACAAAAAAAAATTCATAAGAGGTGACAAGTAGACTTGGTTATACTTGAAGCTTTAATAAAAAAAAAAAATTCATTTTGATTAAACTATCAATTATAGTAGTTACTGTAACAGAGTATCCAGTGTTTCATTATACTGCTGGGTCCCTAACACAGGTGGGCACAGTCGGTTAATCTTCACACAGTTTCAAAGCAACTCCGTCCAGCAGGTCAAAACTGGCAAGGCTGCACTCTCTAATGTCCTACTTGACATCTTCCGAACAGGATTTCCTCAGTCTACCAGACAAACCTGCTCTCCAAGCAGAAGTTTGGGTTTGGGTTATTTTTTGGTGTGTTTTTAGACTCTTTTTATCAGGGTTTCTTTTTTGCACTGGAATTTTTCTTTCACCCAACCTAACCTCTGCCGGCACTCACCCCGGGGCGGGGCAAACCTATAATTCAAGAAAGGTGACAGTGCTCCTCCCCGGGAACCATCAAATTATCATTAGGGATATCCATTTTACTGTGCTGGATTATTACACATCTAGCTAGTCAGAAAGGCATTATTTTGGCCACACGCCTCCTGCTGACTGTGCCTATTCATGCGTTTGGGTCGCACCTACTTGCAGAACGACCGCAATGTGTTGAAGAGATTAGGTTTATAATGCTTTTGACTGCTGGCAGAGGTTGGGTTTGGGTGAAAGAAAAATTCCAGTACAAAAAAGAAACCCTGATAAAAAAGTCTAAAAACACTCCAACAAATATAACCCAAAACCCAAACCTCTGCTTGGAGAGTATGACAAACCAACAATCCTGGAAAAGTGAAAAGTTGGTAATCTCCAAGCAGATCCCTCTCGGTGGCAAAAAGACAGTTACTGTATCAAATTGGCCAGGCAGTATCCATTAGCCAGAGAAGCTCCACGGCCACCAACGGGTGGGGATCATGACAAAAAAAACGGCCATATATAAAAAGGTAACGATCATTCCCCCACAACCTCTGCTTGGAGAGTAAAAAGTTGTTAAAAACAGCAATCCTCACCTTCCTCCTCATCCTCACTGAACATGTTGGGGTTGAAGGTGGTGTCCCTGGGCGGCCGCATCCCCTTCCCGATCTCCGGCAGGTAGATGGTCATCTGGCGCGGCTGCAGGTGCAGCAGGCTGGTCTTGTAGTTCACGGCGCCCATGTAGGCCGGGAGGAAGGGCGCCAGGCCGTGCACCTTGAACTTGGTGCCCCAGATGTTAGAGGTCACCTCTACTAACCGGTTCTCCTGGGGAGGGTTTCAAGGAAAGATATGACAGTCAGCTTTATGCTTCTTCTTCTACTAACCGGTTCTCCTGAGGAGTGTTTGAGGAAAAGATATGATAGTCAACTTTATGCTTCTTCTTCTTCGTTACCCTCTAACAACTAGTATCACTGAGGGGCAGCGGTGTGAGGTTATGGCAGGGATTGAGAGAAATCAGATGTATAACAGCTGTGTATTTCTAACTGCCCTCCCACCTGAAGCAAGTCAATTAGAGTGCAGTTTATGATACAACCAACCAACAGAGGGCACCCCTGCACTATACTATCTCACATCCATGAGACATCAGATGTACAGTATTGCAGTGAGGTACAGTATTTCTAATTTCTCTTCTCTTCAAGTCAGAGTAAATAGAGTGCAGTTTTTTTCTAACGCCCCTGAGCCATGCAGATATATACTGTAGTATTGTAGTGATGTACAGTATTTCTACATGTAATTTCTCTTCCCTTCTAGTTAAACGGAGTGCAGTTTTTTATAACACCAATAGAGGGCGCCCCTGAGCCATGCAGATGTACAGTACTGCAGAGCTGTACCTGCGGCAGGTTGTCCAGGTACACCGTGTCTCGCTCCTTCTCGCCGCCCTTCCTCCCCAGCTGACCGGGCGACCTGCGCCGACTCTGCAGCTCGTCGCTGTCGTTATCGCTGAAGTCACTGCCGCTGCTGCAGCCGCTGCTGCTCAGCCCGCTGAAGATCCCGCCATCGTCATCTGACTTGTCTGAGGAGAAAACAAATACATGTATTCATTTTAAAGCAGTATAAGGCCATGTTGATTTGATTACATGGATCCACGTGCGCATGAATTTTTCGTCCGTTTAAAAAAAAACAAACAAATTTTCAACCATACTGTATATTGTACAAAGTAGCTGCAAAAATGAGCAGATATATATGCCGTAAAATAAATAAAAAAATATTGGAAAACGATACTTATGTGGCAGAATACCTACATCCATTTCAAGTGACAAGAAGCAAAATGTGAAGGAATGAAAATGAAGAGTCTATTATTCACCAGGTCAATAAATTCAATAATATAATTTATTACTGAGTCTGTGTATCTAGTCATTTGTTTGACCTTCATGACCACCTAGATTTCATAATGAAGGAAACATTTTTTTGCCATTTTTGCCAAACTTTTTTTCATTTGCACGCTCGCGTCAGTTTTGGGGTTCTCAGAGGATGTCATCCATAAAATCAATTTTTTCACTGTACTGTTAAGTTCCATGAACAAATTGTCCATTTTTCTCAGACCATGAACTTGCTACCGTCAACATAAATTTACAGTATTAACATGCAAATAACAAACCCACCATCTTTAGTGCAGACTTCAGGGTCAAAGATCACAAACTCTGGCCTGAGTTTGCTGACTTTCTTGCCCTTCAGTAGTGGAACAAGGCCCCCTAGGTACTCCAAGTACAGCGTGTAACCGTCATCATCAGTCCTGACCATGGTGCAGTGTAGTCTCTCTGCTCCCACGCTAGTCTGACTGACAAATTCTCTCAACTTGCTTGGATCTGGAATACATCCCTGCTGTTGGGAGAAAGTAGATTTTCATCGAGCACAACATGACAAGAAAGTCCTGAGACAAAAGTCAGGGCTCGAAATACTGGGTGCATGTGTACTAAGTGCACCCAAATTTGGAGCTGTGCACCCATTTTTTTCTGAGGGTGCACCAGTGCACACAAATATTTTTTGTAGGTTGACATATGTTAAGTTTTCAAATGTAATATTCTTAACATGTGAGTGTCAAAATACTGTGTTCTTTAGAAATGAAACAAATATTATTTTATACATAAAAATATTTATATCAAGTAATTAAAGATATTATCTATACATTTGTATTTAATTAATTAAAAATATTATTTATACTAATTAATTTTGCTGGCATTTTACTTATTATAATTATATTCTATCTCATATGGTGCACCCCAAAAATTTTATGGATCATTGCACCTTCAAAAAATGAATTTCGAGCCCTGAAAGTGCTTTAAAAAAGCATGCCAAGGGTATCAACAAAACAACCAGTTGCCATGACAACCAACCTTGATGGTGGGTGAGAAGGCCTGAGTGACGTAGGTCTTGATGCGGCTTGGCAACGGTAGCCTAGCAACCTGTTTCTCCTCCTTGATCATCGTCCCGACCACCTCCATACAGAGCAGCTGGAGCGGCGCCACCTCCTTCTCCACCCACGCCACAAACAGACTCGAACCAGACGCAACAAAAAATCTCTTGTCGTTGTGGCCCCAAGTCATGGCAGTGAGTGCTCTCTGTAGACAGAAAGTCAGAAAGTAGCAGATTTACAGCCACAGGTACATACAGTTAGGAAATCAAATGTTGCCAATGGTTAACTGCTGTGGATAATTTGATAATTCAGAAGAAAACTAAAAACTAAGGTAACATTTCCAAAGCAAATGTATAATGTTTACATTCACTTTGTTGGGCTAGACAAACTCAAACTCAAACATATAATATACAATGTGTCAATGTATGGTGAGCAGCCCCTCCCCTCAGCTCTGTTCTGCTATGCTATGTAACCCAACACCACAAGGTGTTACATTGTACATGTATGCTATAGCATAAGTTACAAAGGTGACATCTGATTCAGGTTTTATTTGTTTGGAGAAGAACAGGAAGAAGATGAAGAAACATATAGCAAAAACTGATTCCTCATTAAATCACCCACAGCAGTTAAGGTCAATGACCTGGACCAGACTGATGCTATTGCACCATGTGGTGTTGGATTACATTATGTAGCAAGTTGGAGGGGCTGGTCACCAATATTCTGACCAAATCTTAAGAGATAACCAAAGCTAAAGAGAACAAATCTTAAGAGATTACCAAATCTAAAGAGAATAGAATTTAAGAGATTACCAAAGCTAAAGAGAACAAATCTAAAGAGATTAACAAATCTAAAGAGAACAAATCTAAAAGAGATTGCCAAAGCTAAAGAGAACAAATCTAAAGAGATTACTAAAGCTAAAGAGAACAAATCTAAAGAGATAACCAAAGCTAATTAAAAGAGAACAAATCTAAAGAGATTATTAAAGCTAAAGAGAACAAATCTAAAGAGATTACTAAAAAAAAAGCTAAAGAGAACAAATCTAAAGAGATCACCAATGCTAAAGAGAACAAACTAATTGAGAGATTGCCTCTTAGATTTGGTCAGCAGTAATTTATTACAAAAGGAAGAGTTGCCTGACCTGTGAGGGAATGTTGAGAGTGAATCTAAGATGGCCGCTGGTGTCGTAGTACTTGACAGCGCTGACACTGTCAGGGTCGGTGATGTGTCGGTGTGTGCCTCCCACGGCCAGGAACAAACCACAGCTGCTCCACTCCAGTTTGGTCGCTTTAGGAGGTTATAAGGATGGAGAGAACCAGTCAGAATAAAACTTATTATGACAAAAAATACCCCTATGGTGGTTTAAAGACAGCATAGGGGGCCCAAATCACTGCATAGGGGGTTCAAATCACAGCATAGGGGGTTCAAATCACTGCATAGGGGGTTCAAATTACAGCATAGGGGGTTCAAATCATAGCACAGGGGGTTCAAATCACAGCACAGGGGGTCCAAATTACAGCATAGGGGGTTCAAATCATAGCAGAGGGGGTTCAAATCACTGCATAGGGGGTTCAAATCACTGCATAGGGGGTCCAAAATACAGCACAAGGGGCCCCTATGCTCAAAGGGCCTGGTGAGAACACGGGGCTAAATTTATGCCTCACCAATCATGTTGGTTCTGATGAGTACAGGTGCCATGTCGTCATAAGACTTCATGAGTGCCACATCACCACTACCAAACCCCACAGCCAGGATGTGTCCACTCTTCAGGGCTGCCTGCCGCTGGGAATGCCTCCTTCTCTGACCTGGGAGGACCAAAACAGAGGATTAATCATAGTCTATACTACATGGTCTACATAAGAGCTCACAGACCTACCCTGAACAGAGACGGGGGGCGACACAAGTTATCTGGCACGTATGACCCGCTACTAGTCACGACTAAGTAAAGCTTAGTCTTTATTTCATAATGACTTGTACCAACACAGATGAACTTTCATGCTAAATACTAGTACATCATACTACATGGTGTCTTCTGCATCACCCGGGGTTGGGCTGGGACACTGTGTGGTATTCTATATAATATAATGTCAAACCCACACTACCACACTAGTGAACAGTTTCATGTTCATTGAATAAAAATACTGTGTGGTATTCTATTTATGTCAAACCCACACTAGTACTACCACACTAGTGAACACTGTGAACACTAGTGAACACTGTGAACACTGTGAATACTGTGTGGTATTCTATTTACATGTATGTCAAACCCACACTTAGTACTACCACACTAGTGAACACTTTCATGTTCGCTAAATAAAAATACTCTTTTTTCCCAACCAAGTGTTTTATTCAGCCGACGTTTCGGTGACCATCTGTCACCTTCCTCAGGGCAATTCTGACTGGTTCACATTGCACAGCACAGGTGTCTCTGATAATAGCAGCATGTGATTCCCTATGTGGTGCAATGTGAACTAGTCAGAATTGCCCTGAAGAAGGTGACAGACGATTACCAAAACGTTGGCTGATCAGTTGTGCTTTATTGAAAACCAGCAGAGTCTAGTACCTTTCTGTTTGGGAGTGGACGGACTCTCCTCCACCTCACTCTCGGAGTCGCTGGTGTTGACCATGTGGAACTTCTCACCCGACCAGGCGAGGGAGCGGATCTCATCATCATCGTCAAGGATACACTGTGCTACCATGGCACCGTGGCTGTCCATGACGATCACCTGGCCATCCGCAGTGCCAAACAGCACCTGCCACACAGGATACTGGTCACAAAATCAGGTTTGTACAACATAGCGCAGGGCTCAAAACTTACGGTGTCCTGATGGCTAGTGACCACTAAAATCTAAGCTAAAAACTTGAGACATTTTTGGTACAATAAAAAAAATAATCAACATCAGAATGTCAACCCTTCTTTCATTTGGCTCTGGAAAAAGCTCCCCAAATTTCCCATTTACTCTGCAATTATATCGCGCATGGAAATCAGAACGTAGGCAAAATAAAGCTGACTTCAAGTTCACTTCCTGAAAAACAGGTTGGGACAGTTCATCCTCACTTCGGGACAATTGAAATTTATTTTTGGGACAGTGCTGGGACAATAGGAAAAAAAAATTAATTTCAAGGCCTGCATAGGATACATTTTGGTATCTATCAGACATTGCTTGTGGCATACTTGGGGTCAGATTTTAGTAAAATTAACAGGTCCCTTAGAGCCTCTGACTGGAGTAGTGCTTGTCGTGACCTCACTATATGTTGCTGATCAAAGTTAAAAGTTTACTATTGTAACAGGACGAAGAGGGACGCACGTCTTCACTCGTCAATGGCTTTATCTCAACTCCTTTATTCAATCTGTAACCGGCCGGTTCTAGAGCCCCTTCCCTCGAACGGTACCGGTATAGATCACCTGTTCGAACACGACGTTGGCACGTGTGCTGGCACGTGTTCGAACAGGCGACCGCGGCACCGCCCAAGGGAGGGGATAGAACCGGCGATAATACAAATGCTTTAATACTAACAATACATATTGTTACACTATATAAGTATTAGTTAACAACACAGATGAGCCTTTGTTTCATCTTCGTCTTCAATACCCCCAAATAACCCCGCAAGGGGTGCCGTTAGGGGGGGGGGGGAGAGGAGGTCAAGGCTAAGGCGGGCAGGCCTTTGAAGGTGCTTTACCTGTTTGTCGTCCGGGGTCCACACCCCACACAGGATGTTGGACTCCTCCAAGTTTAACATGGAGGACCAGTACCGCTGTCCGGCGACCGACCCCACCAGCACGAACCCGTCTCGGTAACAGATGAGCGCTAACCGCCCGTCGTGGCTCCAGTTGAAGTCGCTAACCTGCAGGAGGATCAGACTGTTACTAAACCTGATATCTGTTTAAAGTTAAAACTTTTGTTCCAACACAAAAAATTCTCTCATCTAGTCAGCTTTCGACCAGTCACTCTGGTCTTCCTCAGTAGACTGACCCAGTGAAGCTTGTCACGTGGCTTCTTTGAAGTGTGACGTCAACTCTGGGTCAAAGGTATCTGGGGGACGATGTCGGCCCCCGTCGCGGTTCAATGAAGGGTGATGGGCCCTGATGTATATGCGGGGCTTCCTTCACCCCTCTCAAGAAACCTTTGACCCAGTGTTGACGTCACACTTCAAAGAAGCCACGAAAATTTGAATACAGAATCCGGACGTTAGAATTGATGTTGTTGCATTCTATATATAGGGTTAAGTTGCACCAACTTTTGGCTCATGTTGCATTGAAAGGCGTGTTTTCTTGGGTGGGTATGCCTCGGTCCCGGCCCTCCCGCGAGTCAGATCGCCCTCTGGTCGGGACGATACCTTGGGCGATACGGAATACCCCGTGTTGTATTCTATATAATATATCCATGACATGTACATGTAGTACTTACGGGGCTGCCCCTGTCATTGACCAGTTCTATGGACCATCTGCCCTCGTACTTGATCCAGACAAAGATAACACCGTTGCCATCGCAGGTGGCTAGCTTCTGGTAGGGTTCGTTCCATCTCACCAGGACTACCTGTGCAGGCAGACAAGAACATGACTGTAAATAATGAGTTCTTAAATAACAGTGTCCAGTTTAATTCCGGAATTCCAGCTTAATTCCGGACTAATTCCCATATCTCAGCAACCTTACGTCTAGATGGGCTAATATTCTAAGATATACATGTAGGTAAAAATGATGTAAGAAATAGTAGCCATCGGTGACCATCGGCCCCTTGCGAATTAACCCAATTCTGCAGAATTCTGGCTCCAGTTCCCAGAATTCTGCAGATTAACCCAATTCTGCAGAATTCTACAGAATTCTGGGAACTGGAGCCAGAATTCTGCAGAATTGAGGGCCCGAGGGCTAATTGCAAACAGACATTGACAAAAACAATGAATACAGAATGTGGTGATTTAAAAGTATATGCTAACATGGAGTTCTACATTATACGGTATGCTTAATATATCTAACTAATTATATTATCTACTTTAAAACCAATAAAACGTAATACAGGGTAAGGAGTGGATATGCTTTACATAAATAAGAAACATGGTAATTGCTATTCTATTCTATTACTACATGTAGTATACTATTCTAGCCAAGCTGTTAGGAAGTTTGACTTCTTCTCAGTGGAGGCAGTGGGAGATGAAATGCAACAAACAGTAAACTGTCTTTATTCCAACACTAGGGGTCAAATTTTCAATGACCAGATTGTTGCCTTCATCAGAATAATCACTGACCAATCACTTCTGCACATAAACTTGCGACAGTTACAGACACATGACCTAATATTGATCACACTAGACTTGGCTGATACCGTCACATAAAGCAGTTGCGCAAATGTGCCAGGGAGTTTATATCACTTACTTTTAGTGATAAATCATTTAATTTACTTAACCAACTGACGGATGAACTTCCAAGACAAATATAATACTATCTCTCGATAACTTAAAAGACATGTATGGACTTGGAAATGGTAACACAAAATTGGTGTTTTTGTATAGTAGGAGGCAGATACACATCTACATGTACAGTGTATATATATATCTGTCCAAACTTCTTGCAGTAAGGGCCTTTAATGGGTATAAAAAGCACAGTACAGATGTTGAGATAGGGTGTGTGTACGCAGACTGGCTTCCATTCAATCCTGCTTTTACTACTACTGTGTGGCGTTTGGCGTCATACTCATGGCTATCTCCATGGTGCAGGCATGTGTAGGAGTGTAGAATAGGGAGTCTGAATAAGCTGCAGTTGATACATGTCATGTTCTACACAGGAACTGTCACAACAGATAAGGCCTAGGAAAAATAATGTTGTGTTTCCTCTTAGGCCACTCCAATTTAATTTCTTTGTTAATGGATTTTTCTAGAAAAATAATGGAGCGGGCGAGCGAAAAAAATAAAAACAGGCCTAGGCATCCTATTATGGCCCAAAATGGCCTGGTGCGATAGGAGCCATGAGGTCAACACACCAGGCTGGTTCAAAATTTATATCAATGAATTTTGAACTTTTAATGATACCACTGCATTGAAAGATGGAATAACTGTACATGTAACAACCAGGAAGAAAAGGACTGTTTTCAACTGTTCAGGGCAAAATATGAGCATTTTGCAGTTGATTCTGAATTTTTCTTTTTATTTGCAAATCAGAAAAAAATGAAGCGGGCGAATCCGTTAACCAAGAAATTAAATTGGTATGGCCTAACGGTCCTGAAAAAAATTTTGGGATGGTAGGTAGGGATGCACTTTTAAAAAAAATTATCTTTAATTTATAATCCAGGCAAAGTTATCCAACGAATACAGTTTGACTGTATCTGATGAAAGGTGGACTAAAATCGAAACATTAGGTCTGGTTCAATTCTGATTTGGTCCAATACGAACCACTATGTCAGACCGAAAATCTAGTGCCGTTGGCAGCGGACACCAAAAAAAGATTGATTTTTTTTAAATGGAAACACAACATTTTGTTTCCTTCAGGCCTAAGCAACACCACTCACCCTTCTGACTTATGCTGTAAGCAGCACCATTTATATTTAGTGACTGGAGTTAATCCCTCAGCAGAGGAAGTTAAGATAGAATCTGTGTACGCAGACTTAACACGAGCACCAACGTGTTTAACAGCTCCGATACGCAAACCAACGTTACTGACGTCAAACATCAATTACCGTAATCCTATTGGCCCTCACCAAGTCACTATCAATTAACCAACGTGCGAGACGCCCGGGGGCTTAGCTGTTCTGACCAATGAAGCGAAAGGGATTCCCTTTTCAATAAAAGACCCTTGGATACAAATTGCTTGATCTCATCAGTCACCATGACAACTAAATCGATAAATCAAAGGCTTGGAAGAAGGTCGTTGCTATAAAGGTTAGATCATTCTATAGTAGATACTTTACAGGGTGGTGCACTGTGCAAAATACCTCAATCTAATTTGCTCTGGTAGATTATTTAGAGAGGTTCTCCTGAAGTATATAAATTGGTCTCCTTAACAACCAATCACAGCACATATTAGAAACCATCTCCGTGGTAATAATTTAGATTGAAGCTTGAATAATCTGGTGGATAGAGGACACAGACAAATAGGAACATCCAGACCTTAGGGAACTGGCAATTCATACATCGTTGCTTAACCCTTGTCCTGCTGGCATTCCTGGCACAATATTTTTCAATAATTTCATGTCTTAATTAGATCATAGACCCCCAATTTTTTTTGCCCTGCAGTGGCACAGTTACTTCCGCATTCGTTGCGTTTCGCTGCGGTGTGATGCGTTGCACGAGAAATACCCCCAAATTGTACCTATACAGGGTGTTATATAGATGGTACTGTGTGTGCCGCGCGACATATGTTGCGCACAGCAGGACAAGGGTTTTTTAATAATATACATAGCCTGCATGAGCACTTTTGGGGGGGGGGGTAGATGCAAAATGTTCATAATTAAACCCTTTAAAAAGTTTAATAGTTTAGTCATTACCTGAAATCTGAAATACATGTAACTGAATCATTATATAAGTGAAAGCACCTTCAGGCGTTGTTAAGAGTTCCCAAGATCTACTTTGTGTGTTGTGTGTATTTCCTTCAGGCACAATGACATTGGGTCATCTTTACAAGCCATATAAGAAGCCTATATAGCTTTAGCCCATTTATGCTTAAAATTAGTATACTGTATCAGGACTTGAAATACTTTTTTCTGCGTATTTGCACTGGTGCTGGTAACATGAAAAATTACCAGACAAATTCTACCTGCATCACTCACACTTTGAGAAGTAAAAACTGTTCAGAATCTACTGCCATAGTTTCTTTTATTATGATCTCATATAGCTGGCAGCAGTGATCATGAATGCAGCAAATACAAAGCCACATACACCATTTATATAATATTATCTGCTTCAGAAATATCTGGCACTAGTGGCAGTGCACAGCCCCAATTTTACCTGCACTAAGGTGCATATATTTCTGCCACCAGCAGCAGTATATTTTTGAGCCTTTAAATGCCTCTGAAGGGAGCACAAGCTTGACATTGGGTCATCTTTACAAGTCTTGCACATGTACATTTGTAGCAGCCCTTTTGTGCTTGTATATTCGATAATATATACAATTGTATAATAATATATAAGATTTAAAAGAGACTCTGAATCAGTTCCTTTTGATATAGTGAGTTTGTATCAAGTTTATTCCGTAGCCTCTGAGTATAGGAATTTACCCTTTCCTTAACCAGAAAAAATATAACACAGTCAAGATCTTAAAGCATACATTTTGACAGCAGCTATAGAATTAGTTATTACTAATAAATAGCTACACAATTCCAAAGTGCATCATGTAAAGGAATGCATGATGCAGTCAAGTCTACTTAAAATGCTGCTGCAGTAAAACCTGATTGTTAATGGCTGAGTAAAGGTTGTAAACCTGCTCTATCTCTGGTACCAGAGGGCCGGCGGGCGGAATGGATGGTTCCAGGCACGTTCTGCAGGAGGAGATATGGACTAATATTCCACCACAGAGATTATATTTCCACACATAATGTTGGTTTATGGCAGCTGTCCTCTGTGTATACAGATATGCATGCTGCGCGCTACAATAATTCTTCATAGTCTTGTTGGGATTTAGATATTCCGTTTACTGAGTGTACATTCATTTATTGTTGTGGTAGGACAAGGCTCGACATATACTGGTACATAGTACATGTACATGTTCTACCGGTATGTAAAGATATTAAATGTATTATACAGCATATTCTTGCTAGTAAGAATCCAGAAAAAAAAACAAGAAGCCATAGGTGACAATCATCAGTGAAGTTTTATATATTTCAACAAAATCCCAAGCGTCAACGCCAGACCTACTGTGCAGACATTATAATTAGGCAACGGTTAATACAATGAGGGCGCGTCACAAGCATAAAACATACAAAGAGCTAAATCCATTACTGCTCCCAGGGCGTGTAAAGATACTGTGCTTCAAGTTCGAAGTTCATTTTAATTACACACACACAATCATTGCATTCACATAAAGATCGGACTATCATGGTCGTGTCTAGTAACAAAGATAGCCCCACCGTCTTACCGTGCCTGTACCTAATTAAGCGCGCCTGGAACAGGACAAATTCCAGCAACAGTTGCGGTAAGCACCGCGAGTGTTACTACCGCCGGCCAGATAACCAGGATATCTGCTTATAGTACCTCTGCTACCAGACAACTGCCTAAACCTACGGCCTATTCCACAGGATTGTAAAAGTAGGGATGTTTCTAAAATATGCATTTACTTCAATATCAAAACAGCTACGGTAAAAATAAAAGACGTGCATCATCCCGGACATAATGCCACACCACATGCGAAATTACACAGAAATGCGACGTACGGAAGAATGCGTTTTGGCTGCGAACATCTTCCAAAAAACTTGGCATCTCTTAACCATGGGCAAAAACATCTGGAACCACTTATAAAAACCACCCCGTATCTACATGAAGTTCCACCCCCTCACTGCTATTCCAAACAACGCGTTTTTCTGGACCATTCCAATTCGCCTCGCAATCGTAGGG